ATAGAATCGATTGGGTTGGAAAAGACCTCCGAGATCATCGAGTCCAACCCTTGGTCCAAATCCAGTCCATTTACTAGATCATGGTACTCAGTGCCACGTCCAATCTGCGTTTAAAAATCTCCAGGGATGGTGAATCCACCACCTCTCTGGGCAGCCCATTCCAATGCCTGATTACTCTCTCTGTAAAAAACTTTCTCCTGATATCCAACTTAAATTTCCCCTGGCGGAGCTTAAGCCCGTGCCCCCTTGTCCTATTGCTGAGTGCCTGAGAGAAGAGACCAACCCCAACCTGGCTAGAACTTCCCTTCAGGTAGTTATAGACGGTGATGAGGTCACCTCTGAGCCTCCTCTTCTCCAGGCTAAACAACCCCAGCTCCCTCAGCCTCTCCCCAGAGGACTTATGCTCCAGTCCCTTCACCAGCCTTGTTGCTCTTCTCTGGACCCGCTCCAGCACCTCAGTATCCTTTCTGAACTGAGGGGCCCAGAACTGAACACAATACTCAAGGTGTGGCCTCACCAACGCAGAGTACAGGGGAAGGATCACTTCCCTGCTCCTGCTGGCCACGCGATTTTTGATACAGGACAAGATCCCATTGGCCTTCTTGGCCACCTGGGCACACTGTTGGCTCATGTTGAGCTTCCTGTCAATTAGTACCCCCAGGTCCCTTTCTGCCTGGCTGCTTTCCAGCCACTCTGTGCCCAGCCTGTAGCGCTGCAAGGGGTTGTTGTGGCCAAAGTGCAGGACCCTGCACTTGGCTTTATTGAACTTCATCCCATTGGAATCAGCCCATCTCTCAAGTCTATCCAGATCCCTCTGCAGAGCCCTCCTGCCTTCCAGCAGGTCGACACTCCCTCCCAGTTTGGTGTCATCAGCAAACTTGCTGATGATGGACTCAATCCCCTCATCTAAATCATCAATAAAGATATTAAACAGGACTGGACCCAACACAGACCCCTGGGAACACCACTGGTGACCGGCTGCCAGCTGGATGCAGCTCCATTCACCAGCACTCTCTGGGCCCGACCCTCCAGCCAGCTCCTAATCCAGGAGAGGGTACACTTGTCCAAGACATGGGCTACCAGCTTTTCCAGGAGTATATTATGGGAGACAGTGTCAAAGGCCTTGCTGAAGTCCAGATAGACCACATCCACAGCCTTCCCCTCATCCACCAGGTGGGTCACCTGATCGTAAAAAGAGATCAGGTTGGTCAGACAGGACCTGCCCCTCCTAAACCCGTGCTGGCTGGGTCTGAGCCCTTGTCCATCCTGAAGGTGCTGTGTGATTGCACTCAGGATGATCTGCTCCATAACCCTGCCAGGCACCGAGGTCAGGTTGACAGGCCTGGAGTTGCCAGGGTCCTGCTTGCAGCCTTTTTTGTGGATTGGGGTGACATTCGCCAACCTCCAATCATCTGGGACCTTCCCAGAGAGCCAGGACTGTTGGAAGATGATGGAGAGCGGTTTGGCAAGCTCTTCTGCCAGCTCCCTCATCACCCTGGGATGATCCCGTCTGGTCCCATAGACTTGTTAGGATCCAGCTGGCTCAGTAAGTTGCTAACTACATCCTCCTGGAATACAGGAGGGCTATTCAGCTCTCTGTCTCTGTCTATCTGCTCTAGAGGCCAGTTGTTCTGAGGGCCTGTCTTACTGCTAAAAACTGAGGCAAAGTAGGTGTTAAGTACCTCAGCCTTCTCCTTATCTTTGTTAACTATATTTCCCTCCAAGTCCAACAGAGAATTGAGGCTTTCCTTGCCCCTTCTTTTGCTATTAATGTATTTATAAAAGGACTTTTTGTTATCCCTAACTGAATTAGCCAAATTAACTTCAAATTCCACTTTTCTTTCCCTAATTTTTTCCCTGCATGACCTAGCTCTCTTCGTAAATTCTTCATAAGTAGCCAGCCCTTTTTTCCACAGTCTGTAAACTTTCTTTTTATCCTTGATTTCTTTCAGAACCTCCCTATTTAACCAAGCCGGCCGTCTTCCCCTCCGGCTGGCCTTTCGGCACACTGGAATAGCTTGTTCCTGTGCGCTCAAAATTGCCTGTTTGAAGCATGTCCATCCCTCCTGGACCCCCTTGCCTTTAAGGGTTGTTTCCCAGGGTATGCCCTGAATTAGTTTTTTGAATGGGCCAAAATCTGCCCTCCGGAAGTCCAGAGTAGAAGTTTTAATGATGGCTCTCCTTACATCCCTAAGGATTGAAAATTCTATTATTTCGTGGTCACTATGCCCCAGGCGGCCTCCAACCACTACATCATCCACCAGCCTCTCTCTGTTTGTAAACAGTAGGTCTAGTGGGGCCTTACCCCTGGTAGGCTCATTTACCAGTTGATGAAGGAAATTATCCTCTATACACTCCAGGAACCTCCTTGACTGCCTCTTCTCTGCAGTATGAAGCTCCCAGCAGATATCCGGCAGGTTAAAGTCACCCATGAGCACAAGGGCTGGAGATTTTGAGACATCTGCCAGCTGCTTGTAGAATAATTCATCTCCTTCATCATCCTGGTTGGGCGGTCTGTAACAGACACCCACAAGGATGTCAGCCTTGTAGGCCTTCCCCCTGATTCTGGTCCACAGGCACTCAACCTTGTCACTGCTGACCTCAACTTCAACAGAGTCAAGAGACTCTCTAACATATAAAGCCACCCCTCCACCTCTCCTACCCTGCCTGTCCTTTCTGAAGAGCTTGTAGCCCCCCATAGCAGCACTCCAGTCGTGTGAGTCATCCCACCACGTTTCTGTGACAGCAACTATGTCATAGTTTTCCTGCTACACGATGGCTTCCAGCTCCTCTTGTTTGTTTCCCATACTGCGTGCATTGGTGTACATGCACTTCAGCTGGGCCATTGATTTTATTCTCAACTCAGGCACTACACCCTTAGGCTTATTTCTGGAGAGCCCAGTTGCCGCCCCTTCCCCCTTCAAACCTAGTTTAAAGCCCTCCTAACTAACCCTGCCAACTTACGGGCTACAGTTCTTTTGCCCTTCCCAGATAGATGAAGCCCATCTGGTTTAACAAGACTAGGCTCTCCAAATAAAGTTGTGGTGGTGGGAACTATTCGGTGATGAAACTTTTCACAGAAGTCTCGCTGCCTTTGTCAAGCTGGTGTGCCATCCATGCAGTCTGTCCTGGGCAGTCCTCAGTGCTACAAGGCATCACATTGTATAGGACCAACCTTATTGGAATAGAGCTCTTAGCTCTGAGCTGAATTGAGGAATTAAGGGTAAAAGCTGTAAAAAATTAAGGACCTAAAGAAGACACAGCCTCCAGGACAAGTAAGATTATTCCTGTATAAACGTCAAACATGGCATAGATCTTCAGTGAGAACCTAAGCAGTAAGAAAAACCGTAAGTCACAGGTACAGATCCGAGCAGTGTGGAGAGAGGACATTAGTGAGGTACCACCCAAATAGGACACCTATATCTACATATGAGACTAAGAAATAAATGGGTTGAGAGATAGAAATGTTTTCTTTCTCACAGAAGAGCTAGTTAGTATTGTGAACTCAAGTGAACAGTGTCTTTGGATCACAGAGAATGCCAAAATAAATATCTGAGAGCTGCTTATCTTTAATCTCATGCAAACAAAGGAAAGGCAGACCTTCTTTCCTTTTCTCAGGGTCTCAGGGAGCAAAGATTGTCTTTGCTACCATGAAATATTTTGGAACAAATCTTCAAAAATACATAAACATTTAGCAAGAAAATATATACTTCCTTTGGCATATTAACTTGTATTCTGCTTCTTGACCATAGGACTGATTTTAGATGGTTTTTTCTAAATGTTCTAAAGGTTGAATTATGGCTTCTGGGATTTTCCTGGTGCTGTAGTAATTTCATTTCTTATTTCAGGAGATCTGCATAATCACATTTCTTGGCAGGTTCCCATAGAATTTGCACATTTAACTTGCTGCCCCACAAGGCTAGCCATGGACTTTTATAGAGCTGGATCACCTTACATTTTTTAATTAGATTTAACCTGGTTCTCCTTACTTGTGATTAAAGGAGGGGAAGAAAGGTTTTCTAAAGAAATATCACACAGGAATAGCATTGCCATCAGGACCAGGGAAGTGATTGTCCCCCTCTACTCAGCACTGATGAGGCTGCAGCTTGAATCCTGTGTTCAGTTTTGGGGCCCGTCACTACCAGAAGGACACTGAAGTGCTGGAGTATGTACAGAGAAGGACAATGGAGCTGATGAAGGGTCTGGAGCACAAGTCTTATGAGGAGCAGCTGAGGGAGCTGGCAGTGTTTAGCCTGGAGAAGAGGCTCAGGGGAGAACTTACTGTTCTCCATAACTATATGAAAGGAAGTTGTAGCCAAGTGGAGGTAACAAGTGACAGGGCAAAAGGAAATGGCCTCAGGTTGCACCAGGAGTGGCTTAGACTGGATGTTAGGAAAACATTCTTCATTGAAAGGATGGTCAAGCTTTGGAAAAGTCCGGTCAAGGAAGTGGTTGAATCACCATCCCTGGAGGTATTTGAAATATATGTTTGATCTTGGTATTTGCTGAAGACGGGCACAGGCATATAAGGCAATGTGTTCTGTTGCATGGAGGTGATCCAGCTTGAGCACAGCTCCTCTTTTTTGCAACCCTACTGCCTGTGGAGACACTTTGAACCTCAGTTTAGCCTGTGCAGGCCAGCAGCTTTATACCAAAACTGGACCAGTTAAGCAATGTGGAAAACAAGTGACAGATCTTGAGTTCAAATTCAAGACAGAATTATCATGGAATATTAATACAGACAGAAAATTGGAGAAGAAATGGTGGTGCAGGCAGAACTGCAGTTGTAACATACATTTTTTGTATTCTTATATTTATACTTTGAATTGTGTAAATAAGCATTTCTTTTATCTGCGTATTTGATTTGGTTGTGTATTTAATTTTTTGTTACCAAAGACTGTCTAAACTGAAAGGCTGCCAATTACAGTTATAAAAAGTTGCAGCAGAATGAAAATATTACTGCTTAAGAGATTTCATAACTGTCTGTTTCCCTTCCATAGCTATTTTCTGCTGGAAAAATCACAGACACCAAAGCAGCTGAGCTGAAGGAACAGTATACCCTGCTGCATAAGACTGTGATAAGGTATAATATTCTATTTTTAGACTTTTAGTAGCCAAAGCATTACATATTTAAAGTAATTTTCTGCTCTTGCTGAAGCTTAATTATCATTTAAGGCTTTCTTATGGTGATAGTTCATAAAGGAAGAAAGAACAACACAAGTTTGTAAACCAGTATTATTTAATAGGAACATTCAAGGTTGTTAGGGATACCTAAATAATTGTTTGAACATCTTTGTTTCTAATATAAACGTAATAATATTGGGAATGGACAGACCCACAGACTGCAACAGACCATATACAAGTTTAAAATAAATACATATTTGAATATCATGTAGCCAGAATTGTAACATGTGAAAAGACCAACCTGCTGAGCTGACATCATAGAGAGCAAATGAAGAAAGTAAAGCCTCGTTTCTAAGAAAGAAAATGAGACTTTGTCACTTCTAAGTAGGTGTGAATTTTACATTCTGAGAATACTGACAGTCACATTAGACAGGGCTGCTAATTTAGATTAGAACCTTAAGCTTCACACTATAAATGGAATTTGGAAATTAGATGTAGTAGTTGTGGGCCTGCCCTGCACCAGTACTTGCTGGAGGAGAGAGATCATGAAGAAGAGAGCCTGATGCCAGGCTTGAGCAGGGCATGTGGGAGTGGAAGGAGAGAGGGAGGGACAAAGTGGGACACAATACTGCAGTTCTATCAGGTGAACAGTGTGTCACTGAACAGAGCAGTCCTATTGCAAATATTGCAATACTACATTAGTATTTATGAATAATAATTTTGATATTACTTACAGCATGTGTGTGATTATGAGTTAAATCAGCTTCATGATACTTCTGTTACATTTCTGTACTACTACCATAATATCCACTATATTAATAATATTTTATCCCAGTTTCACTGACAGTACACATCAAAACCTTTATAGCAATTCTGTCATTAAAGCTAATGCCTAGTTTAAGGAATCCAATTTCTAGTTCAAGTCATATCTGCTTATTTGGGTTCAGCTGGGATTTGCTGTGCCTCCTGGTAATCTGAATAGTGACAAGTGCTAAGTAATGTAAAATAATTTGAAAAAGGGTTCCCAAAATCCTGAAATAGCAGTTTTTCTTGAGGTTACTGAGTCTTCATCTTAATAAAATGAGGAGTTAGAATATAGGTCTGACTCTGTGAGAAGTCATCTGACTTTATTTCAGATTACTGTATAGCAAATCTTTCTGGGAAGCAAAATGAAAACCAGAACTCCTAAAACAGTTTGTCTTTTTAGAAAATGCAAGAAGACTTTTCTTAATGCTCAGAACTAAACCTTTATGTGGGGTTTGGATTAGTTGGTTGAGAAGGTTTCTACCACAATGGTGTTCACTGAGCTGAAGTAGAAATCCAGTAGCTGATAAACTTGATTGAACTTGATTGACTTTTAGCCAGTGTTAGTTTGAAAACAGTCTTTGATTGGAAAAATATCAGCATATTACTACATATTTTATGTATTTATATAGTATTCTTTTATACAGAACATTCATTTATGTAAAGACAATCCCTTTGTGTGTGTAGCAAGTGGAATATGGCCTGAGTGTAAACAGGACTCAGCTGTCTTTTCTGTCACACTTAAGACTACCCTTAACAGCATGCACAAAAAGCATGAAAATGTTAGATGGGAGATTACATCTCTCATTCTTTCCATCATTCTCACAGGAGTATGAAATTGCCATAGTTCTGTAAGAAAGTGGATTGGAGAGAATCATGTCACACTCTTTTCTGAGATGTAGTTGTGTGTCAAAGCAAAACACCAATGTGTGAAAAACCATTAGTTCCCACAGATCAATTCCTCCTACTGCTTTCTTTTGAAAGTGAAATCAGTTAGCAAAAATGGATCAGGATCTCCAGTACAATTTAAGGATTTTTCAGACATCTAAAGTGGAATTCACTTGTCCGTATGTTAACATCAATATACTCTTTTTCTACAATGAATCATTCACAGAATCAATACCACTTGTGAATTTTTAGTTCTTCACCCTTCCATGTACAGTACAGTTCTGTGGATCTAGAGCTTATTTTTTCACCTAATACAGTTGAATTCAATCTCTTTCCTAATTAATGCCCATCTGTCAGTGCTGTTACAATGTCATGTTAAAACAAATGACGGAGGATGAGGTCTTCAGGCTGTGTGTGTTCCTCTTCCCTTTAGTAGCCTAGAAAAGTCTCAGGCAGGTGGTTCCCTGTGACAGCTATGCCAAACTGTTGCAGCTGATCTCTCTAATATACAATACAAAGTTGTGTAACACAATGAATACAACAAGTCTGTATGCAGGTAGTCTCCAAGGCTGTTGCTAGAGTACACAGTGTATGGTTAGTATTTGTTCAGTGGTAAATAGTCTTCTTTCTTGCTTTCAGTTTTGCACAATTTGGCATTCTGAAAAGTTGAGAGATGTTACCTAGCAGATAGAATCTTTGATACATTTCTTCAAGGTGTTATATGCTTTTGAATTTATGTTTCTTGGGAACAGGCTGTCATCCCATTGTGGTGGTCTCACCCATTCCCTTTGCAGTAAGGCTGCATCTGAAGCTGAAGTACCTGAGTTCATATTTAGCAACTGAAAACCCATTTAGTCACTCAGTTATGTGTCCCAGTTGTAAATCTTTATTATCTCACTT